GGTTAGGGCACCCTGTCAGGAGCACATCCCAGCCTGGAGACCTTCCCCTCTCTCTGACTTCTGGCGGCGGAGCCCAGCTCTGCCCGTCGTGACCACTGGAAAGCTGTTTTGACTTTGGGTCCGAGCTGCCGGTGCTGATCCTACCAACCGGAGAACAGAAATCTGGACTCCCCCAGAGCAACAGGGCCAGAGGGATTTCACTGAAGAGCAGTCTGCCCTTTAGAAAGGACTGCAAAGTAGGATTCTCTTGACCGGTGAGCTCTGCGAGTGCCTTTAGGATGTGGCTTGATTTATAAATATTTGATTGGCGCACGCTTTGCTCAAGAACATTTCCATTTGCGTGGCGAGCGGTGCCGGTAATCCTGCTCCCCGTGTAGCCTCTTACGTGCTTGGGGAGGGGAGGGGCCGCGGCTGCAGGAGGAGGCTGCGGGTTTGGGATGCTCACGTGCATATTATTATTCTCCAGTTATTGTGCCAGTTCTTAATTCCACGGAGGAGCAAGTCATGGCCCCCCTTCGCCAGACAGGAAACTTCCCGGAAAGAGCAGAATCAGACCTGGAGCTCCTCCTCGCCTTTGCCCAAGCCAGCTCGCTCCGTCAGAGAAGTTAGACGGGCAGTGCTTGCCGGGCCAGTGCCTGGGCACATTTTGCCTTCCTGCCAGGTCTCGGGGCTCCAACCCAGATAGTCTCTGAGAAGCTGAGAGGAAGAGTTCTGTGAGCGAGTGTAGTGTTCCTTACATTTAACAGACACGGAAGATCAGCTGGTTAGATGAGGAAGGCTAAGTAAGCCTAGGGATGATGATGATGATAAATGCCATTTCTGAGCACTTATTGTATGCCTGGCATTGGCTAAACACTTATAATCATCACATTGAAAATTCCTACTTTCTTACGAGGTGGGTACTGTTGTCATTCTTATTTTTAAAATGAGGAAACTGAGGCACATAGGGGAGAACTGGTAAACAGCAGCGTGGGCACCTGAGCCTACCCCTACCTGATCTACACAACAGGCTGGATAAATCCACCGTGTTTCTTCAATCCACTTGTGGCAAAACCACTGCCATGGCGTGGTGTCGGGGCAGTGGTGGGATATGGAAAGAACCTCAGTCTTGGAAGCAGAAGATGTGGTTGGCGCCAAGCGTTCCCAGGCAGGAGCTGGCCGGGCCTGTGTTCTCAGAGTGACGGTTTACAGTTAGTAAACGTACAGGTTTGTAGTTGGGCGGGAATGAAGAGTCTAGCACAATGCCTGGCACCTATCAGGGCTCATATATATTTATTGAATATATTCAGTTTGAATTTATCTGCCACCAATACAATCCAGTCACTCACCAAGTTAACGTTTACTGGGCATTATACCAAGTGTCAGGCAAAGTGTTAGACACAAAAACTGTAGTACTGAGCAGTAAGAGGAAAAGTCCTCCTCCTCAGGGAGTCCACCGGGAGAGAAAACCATTGAATAATCACACATGTAAATGTAGAATTATAACTCCAAGGAGAGCTGCATGATATGTGAGATGCTCCCCAAATGCTCTGTGTCCAAGATGGCCATTTCCATCTTCCCCTGCACCTGTTCCTCTTCCAGGAGCCTCCCTCTATGGTGACAGCATTTACCCATCTCCCAGAGCTGAAGTTCCAGGAGTCAACATGAGCCTTCTCACAAACTGTGCCCATTGTCCCCGAATCGGCAGCTCTTCCTGGCTGATTGCCTGGCATCGTGTGGCGTGTTCCAAATGTTCACAGCCTGTGTGGATGGTTGCCTAGAGCTCGGATTCGAGGCATGGTAAAGGCACAAACCAAAACCATCTTCTTTGCAGGCCAGAAATCCCCACCAGTGGTGACATTTTACTCAGGTTTATATTAGAATGGCCTGCAGGCAAACACTCATTGCAGGTTTATACCGCTATAAGAAAGGTTAGGTACTTGGAAACTTATTCTCCTAGAGGAAGGAAGAAGACAGATTTTGAAAATTTGCCCACAGCAAACTTGGGGAAAAAGAGAAGCTGTGAAAAGGAGTTAATTTTGCCTTGTAGAGCTCAAAGGCAATCACACAGTTCTAGTTTGTGTGATTTATTTAAATATTTGGCTTTTAGAAATGCTCTTCCTAAAGGAGGTCTTAAAGTGTGATTCTACCCGTCTGCACCATCTCTAGTCATGCTCAAGGTAATGATCGAGAAATAAAACCATTCCCTTGCCCAGCTGTGCTGAGCACATTATCCAGGGAGCTGCCTCCATGCCTGGCCAAGGCTGAGTGTTTCCAAATAACCCTGGAAATTCAGAAGGGCCCTCGTAGTACCACCACTGAGCAGAAGAGGGCGACAGAACCGCATTCAGAGAGTGCAGCCACTGCCAGGACTCACCTGCAGGATCTTAGTAAATAGTGTTCAGCCCTGTGCAGCACACAGTGCCGTGTTACTATTCCCAGTCCACAGGTGAGGAAACTGAGTCTCAGTGGCATTAAAAGATTTTACCCAAAACTGGACAGCTGAGGACACTGGAGACATTTACATTTCTAGACAAGAGAGGATGATTGGAAGAGTCACGGGGCTGGGGGGCTGGAAGCTTCTTTTGCAGAGTGCATTATGCACAATGGAGAGAGTGTTAGTTGCCCAGAGTTGCTCTAGTTAGAAAGTGGCAGGGCAGGGATGTGGACTCGAACCGTCTGACTCTAAATCTAGGCCTCTGCCTCTGCAGACGGTCTGTGGGTTATCCAGTGCCCATGGCATCGGCAGGTACAGGGATGGACCTCTGCCCACCCACTGCAGTTACTCTGATTTCTGTCCTCTTGGCCTTTGTTCTTAGTTCCAGAATAAGCAAATAATAGGCCAATGCAACAACTCAGTGTTGGCAGAGAGGCCTGAATCCCAGCCTGAATCCAGACACTTGGCTGTGCTGGGAGGTGACATTATAGAACAGAGACTAGCAGGTGCTTCCATATGCTGGGTTGAATATGTGGACAGCTTGGTGACAGCAGCAGTATTAACCAGAATGTGCTGTGCTGTTACTCTGGGCCAGGCACTGTGCCAAGGACCCTCACTATATTATCTCATTTAATCCTCCCAAGAAAACTGGGAGGTTTCTTATTTTATAAGTGAGAAGACTGAGGATGGGAGGTTCAGTAACTTGCCTAAGTTCACTCGCCAGTTAACCTGGCATTACTTGGGTGCAGACATCCTCACATGCTCTCCTACATCCCCATTGTGCTGCGTTCTAAGATTTCGTGACATCTTAGGGCAGGCCACCAAATCCACAGCAGCCTTCAGAAGTTGTCCCAGTGTTACATACCAAGAGTGCAGTCTATATTGTTAATGATGGAATGACAGTAACGAAGTCATATGCCGTTGGTGCAGAAATTCTAGTATTGCAGTCTCTTGGTACTCCAGAATTCAAGATTTCCTGGAAGAGCCAGCTGAACCCCAAGGAACACATCCCAAGGTGTCTTTCCTCTGGGGTTCTGAGTACCAGAGAGCATTCCCCATTGGTTCACAAAATTGGTTAAGACGCATTAGAAACATTTAAAACCCAGAGAAATTCAAAGTGTGTTCCCTTGTGCTGTGTAGGGCAGATCACACAAATCGTATATCATGCCTTACACGATGCGCTACAATTTAAGTCCATTTATTTACAGTAAACATTGCTCGTGTATGGTTTTCTAACAAATAGAGTCTTTTTTGCCTTATTCTAGTACTCATGTTTCACTGACCATAAGGCATTCAGCAGGCTCATGTGCAGACAAGCCATCAATCCCTAATCCCACAGCTGCAAGCCCCAGCCTCAGTCTTCCTGCTCCTCATCTCAAGGTTCTGGGTGGTGAGTAGGAAGGAAGGGATGACGTCACCTGGTCTGGAAATGCCAGCATCCATCCCCGTGACCTTGCACCCGAGGGTAGACGGTGAGCACCACTGAAGTGGTCATTTGTGCTTAGAGCCTGCAGCCCCTGGTGCATGTTCCATGAATAATTAAGACCACCTGATACATAAACCACACGTCAAAGCTGATGTTTTGCATTCCATTTTAAAGCCAGTCCTGCAGAACCTCACTTCCTGCCTGTCCTATCCTTGTCTCCCGATTTCTCCCACACTTTCCTTCCCTTGATTTGCGGCACGTTTGGCTCTCGAGATTGCCGACCCTCTAAGCAGGGACTGGATCTGCTTTTTGGCTTCTCTGTAACATCTAACACCTCAGTGGGACTCAGGGCATCTCCAATAACATCGCCGTAGGACCCAGACATCTGATATCAAACATACACACCAACACCCGAAGTACTGAAGCAGAAGGAAGACATGTTTATACTTAGACACTCAAGAAGGTTCTTTCCTCCAAAGCCATCCCTTCATTTATCAACACCACCTTGAGAGCCGGGCTGCCAGGGAGGCCTGGGAGAGACATTCAGTATTTTTGTCGTCAGTCGCTCCCGCTCTCCAATTTCTACAAGGTCTGGAGAATGACTTTACCCTCCTGGTTACCACAACCACATCTGCATGACACGCACAGGGAGAGCTGCATGATTTATGATGTGCAAGACCACGGTTATGAACTGGGATTTCACAAATCCAGCCCAGTGGAAACATCACCTGGAGAGTTAGTTAACCCGAAATCGAGCCCACGTCTCTGTGCGGGCTCGCCATCACGCCCACCTGCCTCTTCCCAGCGTGGGGCAGGCCCCCCCCTCCCCGCCATGGGGCCCAGATCTTTCACCACCACAGGAACATGGGAAAACACACAGCGATGGAACCCTGGCAGCCAGTTGTATTAGGTCAGCAGGGAGTCCTTTGAAAAACTTGAAACAGGACACCTTTAGGTGAGTGGTAGCCCCCACGACTCCCTATTTCCCAGACCCAGACCTTTGCACACACACGTGTGTCAGCCCCACCTCCGGATGAGTCATGCCTGAGTAGGACCTTGGGGAAGTGGGTCCCAGTTCTTAGGTGTCCTCCTTCCTCCCATCCCGACCAAGGGAGACACCGGAGAGGCGAGGGGGGGACCATCGGGAGGGGTGCTTACTGTGCTGGTCACTCCTGTCTCTTGTCCCATCCACTGTGCCATCTGGAAGGATCCTCAGGAAGTGGCCCCCGTTGCTACAGTAGAGGAGCTTGGGCTTCTTGTAGTTTCCTGGAGGCAGATTAAACTTCTCCGTCAGGGCCGTGAAGGTCGTGATCTCCCCTTCAGCCATGGCTCAGCAGCTGCTGCTTGTGGCGCTTTCAAGACTGTAAGAAATTAAACGAACCTGTCGAATGTTCTTCCAGCAAAGGCACGATGTACACTTTGAAGAAGGGAAAGGCAGCTCCAGGGCTCAGCGCTCCTGGTCGGTTAGTAACCAGGTGATGCCCGCAGCAGACGGGCCCGTGAGGCGGCTGGTAGTTAAGGGGAGGCTGGTCCCCGGCTTGGGAGGGGTTTTCAGGGCATTTCTCTCTCCCCAATTGGATGGAGCTTTGAACCAAGCTGTGCATTTTATAGAACTTCAAATTTAATCATTTGACCAGGGGAAAAAAATCATGTTTTGGTCCCTCCTTCTGGTCCACACACATCCTCAAATTAAACACTGAAGTTGCACTAAAATAACACCCTGGGTCTGGCTGAAACCCACAAAAGCCGAGAGGCCGGGACTGAGGTTCTGTCCTCCACCCTCACACTGCCCTGACTCGGTGCTGCAAGGCCCGCGTGCCGCACACGGCACAGATGGCCCGGACACCTGGGCACCTGTGAGCAAAGGCAGCGGAGGCCTTTCGGGGACACGATAGGGACGGTGTAGGGTTAATATGTAAAGGAAACAGCCTGGGTTTGCTGGAGGAAACAGAACTAGAACCAGGGGATCAGGCACAGAGTGAGATTAAGTGAGGTTTCTAAAGCACAAACACTGTATCAAAGGAAATTGTAAGCGACCATCATGAAGGCCCTGCCTGGTTCCTGCTCATTCCACAGCTGTCATACGTTCCCGGGTCGCACACAGGAGGTGGGTCTGCCCCTGTACACAGGCCATCTCCATCCTAATGATTTTCCAATATGACACCTACTCATAACACAGAAACCGCCGTATTATAGATTATAATCCTCTAACATTGTAGATAGCCACAATATACAAATTTATATTATTAGTGGAAAAATGCATTAATCACACCTAAGGATTAAAAAGCAAACCAATGAGCATTAGAATTTTAAAGCACATGCTCGTCTCACCGTTTAAGAGAAGGAAGTGCTGGTGACTACAAAATCTATGAAAGAAAGAGGCCAAAAAGAGACCAGGAAGCTGTCGTGGGGCCTGCACCTGGCAAGGCTGGGCAGTAAGTGCGATCACCGATGCTCACTGATTGGCTGGTGGTCGTATATAGATAATAGTGATCAGCGGCAGCAGCATTAGCATATTCTGGGCTATAGGTTAACTCTTGTTAACCTCACCGCAACCCTCGGAAGTGGACACAAATATTATCCCCATTTTCTATAGAATAAAAGTAAAGCTTAGAGACGTTAAATGGCCTGTCCAAGGTCAACAGCTGGTAGGTGGTGGGGCTGAACCTCACAAGGACTCTGAATGCAAAGCCCCAATTTGCCCTTAATCACCATGGAAAGGCTAAGTGACCTCACTCATACTGCAGCATTTTTACCAGAAGTGGGGTTTTTTACTCATTGCCTGGCTCGTACATCTGCCCCCGTAAACTTGTCGTTCTTTTAGTTACTCATTTGTGACCCAAACGTTGGCCATCTCCACCGGTAATTTCCACTTTTGCCCCCTGCCAACCCTGAAGCGGGCCCCCACACGTGCCCTCGTTCCCCGGGAGAAACCCGCCCAGCGGCACCGTGACTGCGTCCGGCACAGCCGGCCGTTCCTGCAGCAGCCTTGGGCAGCTGCTCCCGCGGAAAGCAGCTCCGTCGCAAATCAAGGCACCAATTACAATAATTTGTCCTCATGACTTTGGAATTAGGGTTCATGTTGGAAGCTTCCATTTGTTTTCTCTGCTCCTGGCATTTCAATGTTTCTGGTACATTTCTCCCAATCTGCAGCCACACACATTGTCCTCAGTTCCAGCTACTGTTGGAGGTGCCTCCAAGGACCCTCAAAGAGAATTTTGCATGCACCATATAAACTATATTTAAAGTCAGACCATCCCAAACATCCCCTCCACACATGGAGAAATTCTGACCAGTTTTTTTCAGATAATACAGTTAACAGAAAATTAATTTCATTTACATCAATTTCACAGGGAGAACTGCAGCGTTTACCTTGCACACCACATTGCCTTTCCCTCCCAAATCCTCAGCATCTCTCCCAAACCCCTCCCTTTCATCCACAAGCCACTGAGTCTCTGTGCCCACCTGTCTCTCTCACTGTCTCTCCACTCATGCCCTCTCCACCCAGCCTCTCGCTGCCATTCCTCACTCCGCTCCCGTCTGGGCCCCTTCTCACATAAAGCAGTCGAGCTCTTCCACATGTGGGTGTCTTCACCCCAGCACCTCTCCTAGCACACAACCATCACCAGATTCCCCTTCCTTGAAATACAACTAAGAAATAATAAATTTTTTCATTAATTTTTTTCCCAAGCACTTCCGAAGTTATGCACTTAATTTAGTACAGGAGACAATAATTATAGACTAGTGGTTGCCATTTAACTGTACAAATAGTCATTTGTATGGTCAATCTTAGGTCGGCAGAATTTCGTTTCTTGTTGGCTCTGGGTCTCCTCCAATGGAGGTCCCCCTTTCCCCCCGTTATGCGGCAACTGCACATTAAGGGTGGCCTTCCTTCTAGATCCAGCCCCAGCGAGGCATCTTACGTTGTTTTCTAAGTGTTGGTCGTGGATTTGGCTCTGTCTTTTGGCATCCTTGCTTCCATCCCATTGGGATGAGGGGGGACAGATGTGCCAAAAGGCTGGTTGAGGTTGGAGGCACCGATTCTGGCTGAGGACTGTACTAATGCTCACGTTCACGTGTGTATATAGGCCGTGCAACCTGGACTTCATCACTGTGGGGCTCTCACTGGCTACTTGGCCTCAGCCAGAGCCCGGCAGGTCCTCAGGGGTCCCCTCCCTGTGACCACGGTGCAACCTGCAGTCATACAAGGCCACAACTCTGCTGTCTACCTGCTCCCCGCAGTGAGAGGGGCAGTCATGGGGATGGCTGTACTGACATCAGCTGGCTCCCAGGACCCTTCAGCTCAGATCCATACCTGGAAACACCAGGGAGACATGTTGACTCCTGAAAACAGGCCTGGAGTCAACATAAAGCTGATAGACCGCGGCAGCGGGGTTTGTGAATCAGCTTGAACATAAAAAAAAATGAAATCCCTTTTTGTTTCTGGAGGAAACCCCAGGGGCATGAAAAGCCCTTCTTTTTAACTTTACTTACAATTTGCCTACATTTTGATCAGTGGTTGGTCCAAAGTTCCTTGCCAATCTACTATTTGTTAAAGGATAGGAATACAGGAAGTATATGAAGTGATAAAACCATAAGGCAGCAACCTTAGCAGGCCCTTGGGCATTTACACAAATTGCTCTAATAAATGAATCCATTAACTAAGTGAAATCAGGCATTAAGTGTAATGGAAATTTATAAGCTCTGCTTCTCGTTACTATTTTCTTTTTATTGGCTGTCAGGGGAGGAGATTATCTGTGTTGTGCTAGGAAACAGAGAAGATCAAATCCAATGAACTCCATGTCATCATTGTGCACTAAGCCCAGCCCTTTGAGATTTCAGGCACTGGTGAGATTTTAGGAAAGCCAGATGACTTTCTTGATTTATCAGTGACACCAAAGTGAGAGGAACACCAAACCTATTGGAACATACTTTGTCAGCTGTGGCCTCTAGAAGGGCACCTGAACTCTGGCCCACGAGCAGGATGTGAAGCACACACTCTCACGCTCTCAGGAATACAAGAGTCAATTTTCAACGTAGGGTAGTGAGCGACCACCGCACAGCTACGGCTTTGCACAAATTGGCTCTGGGAGCCTGGCTGAGTCATCGATTCCTTCCAAAATGTTTCCTCTAATAATCTCCACCCTGCCTATCACAAAGAGTTGTCTGAAAGAGTAAATGGGCACAATATTCACAGTAGCACTTGAAAAGTATTAAAATGTGACCTGACCTGTAGGAGATAATGAGTAACTGGTTATATTGAACTAGTTGAAGCCTGGCGTAGTCTAAGTCAGCTGTGATTAAATGCTTAATTTAAAATAATTGTTCTATTGGCTTGAAAAATAGAGTTTTTCATTCCCTCCCATATTTGACAGAAATGAGCTAAGCTCCCCCTCTCCCATTATTTAAGTTACAAACATAGCAGAGAAGATGAAGGAGACCAAGGTAAGCCATCATTATGGAGCATTTCAGACTCAGTTTATCAATGGGTATTATAGGGACATTTGTGAAACCTGTTATTGCTAGAAGCCATCTGTGCTCAGCTTGGCCCTGGTGACTAAGCTGGAAGGAAAGACTTATGGTTCTAAGAATCAAGGGAAGGTAAACATTGACATTTATTTTCTGGTTTTGTGTTTAACCCCATCACTGCTTAAGCAATGCAGAATACCCATGAAGGAAGACATTTTGCAAAGTGTATAAAGCCACTGGAAGTAGATGTGTAGGCATCTGCTGAGATGATAATTGGGTGCATCCTCAAACCCAGCATCTACAAAATAGAATTCAGCTTTGGTTCCAAATAGGCTCTAAGTCCTTGCTCCCTGTCTCTATGAATGGCATCATCCAAAAGCCTTTAACTCTTCCTTAGAGATATTAAGTTTAGATTTTGTTAAGTCACATATGCATTTTAAATATTAAGGTAACTACTGAAAGAAAGGAAGTAGAGTGTATTAACTCCAGCCAGCAACTGGTAGGGGTAAGAGGGCTGAGGTGGAATAAATAAAACTGTACTTATCCAAAGAATCTAGAAAAAGAATAGAAAATAAAAAAAATTATTCAAAATTAGATGGCAGAAATATATCTAAATGTATTTATCATCACAATAAATGTAAATGGACTAAATTTACTAGCTGTTGGATTTCTTTAAAAATCCGTCTACACTCATTGTAAGAGACACATTTAAAGCATAAGGACACAGAAAGGTTAAAAGTAAAAGGATAAAAAATAGGTACCAGACAAATGTTAACAAAAACTAAAAGTCGCTGTGGCTGTATTAATACCAGATAAAATAGGTTGAAGGCAAAAAGAATGATTAAGGATAAAAGGAATCTCTGCATAATGATAAATGGAATAATTCAACAGA